ATTACTCAGTTTCAAAAATTGCTTTACATAATGAAATCACTTACTTGCTCTAATTTAATTTCACTTTATATCATTTAATAAATTAATGCTGATCATTTAACATCATTGAACAAGTAGTTCAGTTCGTTCTCTGTACTTAAATCTTGAAGTAGGTTGGGTTTTTGTCATATTCCAGGATGGTATTTTAAGAGTTGGGTTTAATTTCTCCTCTCGGCTTCTTGATTACCCAGTATAATACCACTCTGTAAGAGGGAACTTAGCCAGCCCTGGAAGCTGAATTTTTCAAAATAATTACTTAACGCTGACAAACTAAAACACATTTTTCCAGGAAGTCAATGAGTCCACACGACATAATGACTTCTTCCACCATCTCTTCAAAGACAATAGGGAAATGCTCAGTTTTCTCTTATGAACACAGGCAGAAAGCTGCACCTCCTTCCATTTCCTGCACACTTGCCAAAATCAACATGATTGTGCTACTAAAGATCCTCTGGACATATACCACAACCCTCAGACCACATCTTGAGCCTAAGAAACATTGAAAAGTCTCTCTGAAGCTCAACAGAGCCCTGGGCATTTTTGGAGCAGATAGGCTTTCAGAAAAATTTATGAAAATACCTGCAATTCAGTGCAGACCTTACAAAAAATGAGGTCACAGAGGCCACCATGCCAGTACCACTGTGCTTTTTAGCGATAGGCTCATGGTAACAAAGGAGGCTGTGAGGATGGAGAATATCAGCCTATTGATATTATTCTGATATAAACTAAATAAGTTGAATGTAGGCAGGTGTTAGCAAGAAAAATTTGTCTCCATATCACAAACTGTATGCTTCAGGTCTTACAGTACCAGTGAAGGTGAAGATCTTCTCTTCTTGGAGATGATCTGTTTAGAAAGTCCTTCTTAGCCATTCTAAAAGAGCTTTTGACAGGGGCAGACCTCATCCAAAAACACTGTATGGAAATCTCTTCTAAAAGAGAAATGTTTGAGAAGAGCTGCTGCTTGTCCTAGTTTCTCTTCCCCATGTAAACAAATCTTAAACTCATTTCTACTAGAAATTAGTTATTGTGTGCCTGTGGGTATAGTAAACCTTAATCTCAGACTCCTCCAACAGAAGTGTAAGCTCCTGATACCTGTTAACATGCCTGAAATGTCTTTTTAAAGACAAAAACAGAGCAAAAAGCCTGCAGGGCTGGATTAAATATTGCATTGTTTAAACAGTTGAGCAAGTTCTTCACACTTTGAAAGGATTTTCTCAGACTGTGATTATTACTTTTCTCTTTTTTTTTCTTTTTTTTCTTTTTTTTTTTTTTTTTTAACTTATAAGGCCAACAAAGCTTTAAAACTTTTTTCATTGATTTAAATCCAAAACCTCATACCTCCACTCACAAAGCTGTATTCTGGCAAATGTTCTTAGGAAGAAATGCATAAATCATGGCAAGAAATTAACAGTTTAGAGTCTAAGAAAGACAGGCATACTCACTGTATCTGTTGAATTACCAAAAAATACATTAGTTGACATGACTTACAAGAAACAAGACACAGATGGGAGATTTCCTGTATGCAAGTCTCTTGGACATTTCCAATGGTCTACAGCTACTATTTGAAGGTTCTTTAATTAGAAAGGAACTTTTTGGAAAAAAAATCCTAACTCCCATATGCAATATGTTTCAGCATTTTCATCCAACCCAAGTCTATGAAGCACTATGAAACACAGAAGCACTCAGAAATGTATTTCTTACAATTAATTATATATTGCTACAAGCTTAATAGTGAACTTTTGACTTACTGTTACAGAAGGCACCACAATAATATCCAGATATATTATCCATTAATATATGCAGACTTATACACATAAATTGCATATGGTATACTGAAATGTTCTCTCTATGAAAAATACGTAGATGGTTTGGAAGGTATTTCTCTAGGAGTACATATAGAACAGGGACAAAAATTGAAAGGAATGCATGCATGGCTGATTTAAGGATTTATTATGGCTCCTAGGTTCTCTCCAGTTCTACAGCTTACTACTTCTATCTTTCATGCCTTGAGCACAAGATTAATATTTCTTTTTCACCAGAAGCATAATTTTTCAAAAAACTTGCAGTTCATTTAGCTTTAGCAAAAATATGGATGCATCTTGTGTTGACTTGTTTAGCTTGTGCAACTTTCTCCTCTTTCAGCATTCCTACATGGTTCTAACTATAGGTTCATACAATTTTTTTGCTAAGGAAGCACAGTAATCTGCAACCAGCTTTAAGGTGAAACTGCAAACATGTTCTCCTGGGTAGTTTTGCCCGTGTGAGCTTTCCTGACAAAATCAAGTTATTCACATGCACAGCTGCTTTTAAAGCTGATTCCCTCAGGTATTAAGTTAGTACAGAAAATATTTAGCTTTTCCTGTAGTTGAAAAGATAGATGACATCACTCTTCACTGCAAAACAAACTTCTGTGATATATCTGAGCAATACCGAAGCAATTAAACTCACTGTAGGAACTTCCTGAATTCTTCAGTAAACCTGTATATCTAGATGGAAAACCAAGTATTCTTTCTACAGTGCTTTACAACATACAGCAGGCAATAACAGAATGCTTATCTTCTTGAAGATATAGTTACATTATTTTTATTTAAAAAAAAAACACCTCTGGATAAAAACTGATTTCTGACACCAAAAAATAACACCAAAAAACAAACAACAATGGATAACATGAAGTATTTCGTCTTCCATGCTTCAAACCAACTAAATGTCAATGGGATTTCTTACTGATGTTTGAGGTCACACCTTCCAGATATTGGCAAACATCTTACTGTTAGTGTTGCCTTAGAGAAAATACCCTGTTTAGCATGGAAAAAAAAAAACACAACAACAAAACCTACCCTGTTCCACATAATCTTTTCTAGCTGGTGGAGATCAGTCAACTCAACTTCTAAGGAAAAACACATGGCATAACACTACAACCTCCCTCTTCATTGCACAGGTAAGAAAATTTACCAAACCATAACACCCATAATTTTTATTGAAGAGTAACCTTAAGTGATTTAACAATATCTATGGAAGGTATACAGGAACTGAGTCTTCAATCACCTTTTAGCAAACCCAAATCTTTCTGCTTTGTGATACAGAATTTAATTTTAAACTGAAAAAGCCAATAAATTTTATGAAAGTCCACTCGTAACTCCAGGATCTCGATTATGAAAGAAACTGTAAGGGATGAGAACTGTTGTAAGAAGAAAACCACCACCTTAAGAAAGCTAGGTGATAAAAAGCTGCATCCACTCCACTTTTTCTTCAACAAACTCAATCTCTTACTGGACCACTTGCCATCACTTTAGTTTCATTGTATCTTTGTAGTGTCATAGCAATAACTTGGCATCACAAAACATTTATGTTTCAGAGTACCACAAAGCTATGAAGACCCAAATTGCAGTGCTTAGCTAGACAGATGTTTTCACTGCAACATGCATTCTGTGTCAAGAAAACAGTATTTTCTTCTATTAAGTTACTCAAAGACACAGATATTATCTTTTTGTGCTTTGGAACATACTTCCTTTTGGAAGATGTTTTCTTTTTTTGGATTAATTATTCACTCCTGATTAATAAGTTCTTTTATCTAAATGAGGGTTTATATTTTTTATGAAGCTGCCCTGCAGTATCTTTCATGTTTGGTATCAATTCTGTCAGAATTGTTCTTTTTTTCCCCATGAAAATCAGTATCGAGTGATTTGGGGTCTAAAATTTGTCCAGAAGTGCCTGACATTTATTAGAACTTTAAGCAATACTCAGTTAAATCTTGATTGCTTTAAATATTCTAAGACAGTTGACCAGTCCAATGTTCTTTGTGACTCAGAAGGTTTCCTTGTTCCCAGTCTGGTAAAGTCTAACATGCACTTGCAGGCCAGCCCTGCAGATTCCCCACATACACTTGCCAAAGGATGCAGCAGCTGCAGTTCCTCTTTGCAGGTCAGCAGTGAGGCTGAGTGCATTTACCAGACAGACACACATGGACAAGCACACCCATACACACACTGCACAGTCCAGCACAGGTAGAGCAAAGCTTTTACTAGCACCTCCCTGAACACCAACAGCACCGACATAAACAAAAATACAGAGTCCATATGCTGACTTAGTCCTTTTCAGCACATGCAGATTAGAGTGAGACTCCCAGAAAATGGATAAACAACTTAGGACAGACATATCTTAAGCAAAAGGCAGTATATTGCTGTTGTCATTCAAATATGCATGGAACTCCACTTACCTCTTCAGGAAAGAATTGACCCACTCCTTGCTTTGATACAAAATAAATTAAGAAGTGCAGACTTTCTTTCTCCTCCTTAGTCATGGAAATGCTCCTATGCAACTCTCAAGGTTACTATACCTCCTATTGTATGTCATCATAGTATTTACTTGGATTTTAAACATATATGCTCCATTTAGATTGCATCCTCATTCCAATTTAAAAAAAAAAAAAAAAAAAAAGTGGCATTTATTTTCATTAAAGAGTAAGTTAGTTTTTAAACCAGAATTTGAAGGAAACAAAGAAAAAAGTATTGCACTCCATCCAAAGCACTTATTTTAGAAGTGCCAAAGCATTAAATGCACATTTGAAAGTGGAGGAATCTGCTCTTTAATTAGTCAAGATTTTAGTACAGTTAAGATTTATTCCAAAAGTTCAGGTCATGACCTTGCAACATACTGCTCTGAGCAACACATACTATTGCACATACGACCTATGGCTTCGCCCACACTCATGCACAGTATTTTCACATTTGCACATACTGAAGACTCTCCCCTCCCTGTTCTGACTTCAAGCAATTATGTTTTAAAAAAGAACTGGGGGAAAACTGATCTAATATTGTAACATGAAAGAAAAAAAATCCAGCAGTGTAAAATCAGTTTGATTTACATGCAAATACATAAAAAAATGTTTTCTTCCAGTGCAACTGCTGAGTGTTACAAAACCAAGAAAACATGCAGCAGATTTAGCAATGCTGCCAGTGTCTTCAGGCCTTTGAGAAAGTAGATGAGTCCAGAATTTGGAAGTTCCATGAAGGCATTATCATGAGCATGCCATTGCTGGCACCAGCCAACAGCTCTAAGACACTTAGCAAAATGCAGCACCAAAACACATAGAGCGTAACAAAACACAACCGGTCTTCCAGCTTCTTTAGACAGCCTTCCTGAAAAAGCCACTCCACATGGCTTAAGTCACTCCCACAGCGAGAATACTTCTCCTTACAGCAGCTTTCAGGGACACGAGATTTTTCAGCTGGAAAATGCCAAGAAGCAGCTGTTGCCTTTAGCCAGTCTGTGTAGTTTTGGACCCCGCAACACTGGAGCTTCGTCTGTACCATATCCACAACCCTGCTATCAGGAGCCTGGGATCGTGTCCCATTATACTGAGAGACAAGGTGATCCAAAGTGCTCTTCAGCTCAGAAGGCATACGAATAGAGTATAAGTGTGCCATAACTCCAGAAGATATTTCTAGGCAAAGCAAGACCAAAAGCAAGTACATAAGAGTCCCTTGCTGGCAGCGGGAGCTCTTAGCAGAAAGAGAGATAGACAAAACTCCAGTAGGTAGCAAGGTAAGTGCAGCTGCAACAGCCAGCCAGCCAGGGACAGACAAGAAAGACTCCTGAAGTAAATAACTGTAGTTCTTGTACATCAGGATCACAAGAACTCCACCAAAGGCCAGAGCTGCAGCAGTGCCACAGAAGATGAAGCCTAGGATCCTCAGCAGAGACTGAGCAAAAGGCCTGAGCCAGGAGTACTCATAGCACCATAAAGATGATGGCCACATGACCACACCTCTACCTCTCCCCCTTCTGCTCACTCCTAGCAGCTCAGACCCTCACAACCAGGATTTAATAGGTCTCCAACCCATTTATCCAGGTGCAGGAAATTACATATCCACTCAAAAACAACTTGTGAAAAAGCAACACTGAGGAGATTCCCTCGGCACAAAAACTAGGCTCTGCATCAGCTACCCAAATGCTGATGCTTGCAGCACAGTCTGCAGAAACCAGGAGGGTATGTGCAAAGCTTGCTATTGAGGGGTCATTTACTCTGTTGTCATTGGAGACATTTGCTTTTGAAGGAAGAGAAGAGCTGGAAAAACGTTAAATGTAGAGAAATAGTAAGGTGGTAACCAGCTGTTTTCATTCAGAACACTTAGCATTCCCAAGTAGAAGAGGTAATCCAACCACCTATCCTGCAGCAATAGCTACAATGGCAACAAATGCACAAGTCAGAGTAATTAACATGAACAGTTTAAGCAGACCTATTCAATCAGGGACTTTGGTAGGTACCACTCACCTGGAGTAATTATCCTTCCCAGTACATTTACCACTTGTTAGACTTTACAAGGGGCATAAAGATGACAATAATAATATTTTGCCCTTTTTTTCTCAGTAAGATTTCTGTGTAGATAGCTTCAATTACTCAAGACACCTGCATGAGAAATCCCTACCATTTCATATTTGTACCTCAGTTTGCATCACCAGTGATTTGGCTGAGTGCTGTAAGGACTGAATACAAACAGTAAAAACTTTATTAACTTTTCCTTGTGTGTAAAGAAACTGAATTACACACCAGTTAATTACTTCACAACAATCCCAAAGAGAATTAATGCTACTTATCAGCCAGCAGAAGAGCATTATTACTGAAACATGTGATACAGAAGAGCCAAGCAGGATGGGAAATCTGTAAAAAACTTGCCACAGGCATCAGATCTCAAGGCCAACAGTGGTTCTCTCATCATTCTGAAGTCCCAGAACATCTCTTCTGTTTCTCAAGATGAAATTCAGGCCTAATACAACAGGCACACCTTAGGAGAAAATAGAGAAATTATCCTTGTTTTCAGAAACATGAGCACCTGCAGCCCCTGCAGAAAATCAGACTAAGTAGGTGCTCAGATCCCTGGAAAACTGTCAGCAAAACCACTGATCCCACATCTGTCAGATGTTTTACAAAGAACTATTGCAGTTATATATGCTATGCACACACAGATGTTGGGCTGATCCCTACCAAAATGTCTTTCTATGTGCTATACAAACATTTAATTAAGGCTAATTATTTTGGAATTAGATAGATTGCTTTTATTATTTTTAAACTTGCCATTAACAGCAATTAACATACAGTGATTAACTTGTTAAATCCTAACCAAATGCTTCTTTCAAAGCCCTTCCAGGATGTTTTCCCACAACCACTCTCTGCAGTCTGTCTGCCCTCTCTGGTGTTCAGCTTGCTGCTACTCCCAGCTCTCCAGCTGTGTTGTTTTTGCTGCCATTCACTTGTTCTCCTGAATGCCTTTTCTTCTCATTTCTATGTTCTGCATCAGAGAGAGAGAGAAGGGGGGAACAGAAAAGATTTCCCCTCATGTCTGTACACAGTGGCAAACTACATAGATTTAATATTTCCACATGCATAAGTGAAGTGTGAAGAAGCATATGAGAAACAATCAGAAGTCATGAGGATTAACAGCTACCTACTGCTAGCTTGCAAACTTTGTGAAAACACTACATGAGTTGGCCTCTTTTCTTCTCTGCATCCCTCTATGCTTATAAAACTTAATGAGATATTAAGAACTGAGTTACAACATTGTTTATTTTTAGCTTATTCTGCAGTCTCTGAAATATTTTAGAAAGACTCCAACTGCCTACAAGAGAATTCTACTGCACCTCCTGTTTTGGCTTGGTTAAATGCTATCCTCTCCCTGAAAACAGAGGAGAGAACTTCAATGGTTCTTGAAGCTTAGAGGCTCTTATTTTTCTAAATGTTACCCAAGTATAATCAATCTCTATTTACTTAAATCAGACTCCTTAGACCACAGTGAGGGTTTCTTTATTTCTTTCATATGTCTGTGGTTAGGAGGGCAAAGACAGGGAAAGAAAGAGAAGAGTGAATCAGCTGCAGGAGCAGGAGCATCCGCATGGAGCCTCCTCCTCAAGCCAGGGCTAGTGTGGCAGTGCTTGAGGAGGGAGGAACCAGCATGGCTGCTTATCCACCATTGGAATCAGGAGGACCAACAATAAACAATCGACTGAGAACCAGTTTCCAGGTAAGAGCTCTCAGTGCCATCAGGGAGGATGGAGCATACTGAACACCAACCAAGAGGAAATAGCTGCAGTGAAGATTAATACTGGCAGGACTGTCTAAATCCCTTGCCTAGTTTGCACTAGGCAATGCATACACACTCAAGAAAAAAAGAGCTTCTGCTCAAAGTTTGCTTTCTGGTACAAGAAAAAAACAAACCTGTAGAACTGCCCCTGAAGATCTAAATGGCACCCTCCATAGCACTTTGTGACAAAGAGAGTAAAGGTGAGGCAGAATAAGAATGCTCTCTGCTTTCTTTCTAGTGACGCATGGCCTAACATGATAAATGCCATCCCTGCTTTCCCTGGAGCTCTTGCTGCTTATGAACTGATGAGTATTGAAATTCAAATGTGGGTGTAACAGATAATGCATCTTACACAAACTACTTTCTGGAATGTTGCTGAAAGTATAATCCTCCAAATTAATAAAATACCAACTGTGTATTTTGTGCATTCATTGTTCTAGCAAGCTATGACTGGAATTGAATGGTTCTGGTGCACCAGGAAGGTCAAAGAGGTTCATTTCATATAGGTTCAAGAGCAGGACCAGAGAGCCGCCAAGCCAACACTGTGGTTGTGTAAATGCAACAGAAGTGGTTGTAATGGGCAACAATTCAAATCAGCTAGTCAGCTAGTCCAGACTTTTTGAACTAGAAGAAATCAAGAGGTGAGCACAGGATCAGAGAACAGTTAGACAAGCCCATCTTCTAAGTTTAGTACAAACCTCATGTAAAATGAGACATGATCTCAGAGCCAGACCCCCAGCCACTACATTCATTGTCACATTGACACAGAAGAGCCATAAAGCTGCTTCAGAAGAACACATGGCATTTCTCCTGTAACCCGTGCACACATGAAGCTACTGTAGCTGGATCTTGTAAGTGAAGTTTAAACATTCTTTAAGGGGTTTGGCTTGAGAGTTTAGAATGTCTTTAAGGTCTTGTTAGATTAAAGCACACTCATAGCATAAAATATGACTTTAAAACCTCACTAAAACAGAGATGGTTTTATCAACTTCATCTATCCCAGATCTTATATTAATCTTCCCCTACCCCAACCACCCTCCTGGCTTCTTCAGGGTTGACATGTGACCCAGCAGAGCTGCCAGAGCAGGCCTTATGAGAAATGTCATATTGCAAGGCCACTCTGACAGACCAAATGCAAAAAAAAAAAAGGATTTACAAACCCGGCTGGACCCAGATCCTACAGTCACTGCTGTGCACAACTGGTTGCAGTAGAAACCAAGGTCAGATACTGTTACCTTGCATGAGACTAGTATCTCTCACAGAAAGCCTAAGGCAAGCAGAGGAGATATGATTACCACCTCGTATTCATGTAGGAAATGTACTCCACAAAAACTGATGTACAATTGTGAAGGTGTTTCAATTAAAGCCAGCCAGATATTTACCCCTGGCTCTGTTTACCTGACCAAAAGTGGCCTTTTTCAGAACAGAAGAAATACATCAAATTATTTCAGAGGGTTTATTTAATTTTGCTTTTAAAGCTCAAGGTTTTCATTGGTATTAAACATATTGAAAATCAAAAGTAAAAAGGTTGGTGTTTTCATGTGTTTTCTTTCTTTTCATTCATTAATTGAACATAAGAAAAAAGACTAGAACATTTTTTTTCCCTGTTAAATTTTCTTTTTCCTCTTCTATTTTTGTTTACCAGTCTGAAATTGTTACAAAATCTTTTCGGACTGGGATGAATACAGACTTTCAAAAAAAGGGGAAAAAAGGGGGAAAAAAAACAACAACTAACCAACCAAACAAAACAAACACTTTCTGTATTTCCAGCACTTTTGGGGGTTAGGAGTTGAAAAAGGTTTTAAAAGACACAGAAAGGCACAAGAAAAAAGACATTAAAATTAAAATGAAACTTCTGTTCTTTTGATAGACTTCATTTTATTGCAGTTGGTAATATAAAGAGGTTGAAGGAAAAAATATTTATAAAAACTTCAGATAACGAGGAAAGGACAGAAGACTAGGAAATTCAAGTCAACTAGGCATTTAAAGTATTTTGTGACTTTTTTTATTGTTTTCAATCATCACTAGCTGCAATATTTTTCATGTGAGTGCAGTGTCCTCATTTGTTTTTCGTATTGTATGCAAGATTTCTGGGCACTTTCTGAAGTTATAAAAAGAATTTTACTATGAAATAGAGGCCCTTTAATTGTTAATTCATGAACACAACTAACAGATTTCTCTTCAGGGAAAAAGTCAGAAGTGTCTGAATATATTATTTGGAAGTTAGTAAACTGTGTAAAGACCTGACAAGAACCTTGCATTTGTTAGAATTTCCCATAAATAGAGTTCCCTCTCTTCTGTGGGAAAAAAAAAAAAAAAAAAAAAAGAGGACGACTGCTCTTTCCTCAAGATAAGGCTTTCACACAAAATTGGGCTGGACTTCTGCCCAGCATTCTCCACAGCATAACCTGTGAAACCTCAGGCATGCATGAACTTTGTACTTTTGATCCTCTAGCCCAACAATGTGAAAGGATTGAAATGCTCAGCCATAAAGCAGCCATTTGTAAACAAAAAATTGATCTTTGTTTCATATTGGTACTATGAAACCTATATACAGCACCTGGGAAAAATCTTTCAAATTAATTTGGTAATAAATCTCAAAATCAGTCAAACACTAGGGCATAAGATACCGCTGCTTTTGCATATGTTGCCTTTGGCTACTCTGTTTATCAGAGGATGGA